CATAAATCCAAATAATAGTTATCCAATAATTAATCCTGAAAAATAATAAACTCTCAAACTTTTCCACATTGGAGTCCGCAGCTGTCTGGTGACCGGGAGAGGCCACAGAGTCTAAAACACGTCTTCTCTCTGTGACCGAATAGTTCGATTTTTCGATGTCTCTGCACTGCGCATGTCTGCGTATAGGCTGTGCCGTCAGCTCCGGAGCTTTTAATGAAAATGTTTGAAATGTGTTGTCTTATATTTTCATGTGGATAAAATTCACTCTTCGCAAGAGTTCAAACGCGTGAATGTGAGTGAAAATGCCGTCAGTGGGCCTAATATAACACAGTACAAATGTACCGTGTTTCTGTCGCGCACTAGCGTGTTTTGTTAATTCGTTTCATGTCAGATGGCAGCAGGAAGGTTTATATGCTGTAGCTTCTTTTTCGACAGCGGGCACGTTTGTCACAGCCAGAAATAAATATTTCGTTTTATTTCATGTATTTCAAACACGGTGCATTCTGTGGGATCTCTCCACAGGGAAGCCTCTGCTGTGGACGCCGTTCATCCAGCGGCCCTTACATAAGAGAAAAGGCGGCCAGGTGCGCTTCTCCAACGACCAGACCATCGAGCTGGAGAAGAAGTTTGAGACACAGAAGTACCTGTCACCTCCAGAGAGGAAACGCCTGGCCAAGATGCTGCAGCTCAGCGAGAGACAGGTGAGCGGAGCCCGGTCTGGCTCACACACATGTGCCGTAATGGCTGTTTGGAAGGATCTCCGGAGGATCGGCCGCAATTTTCGATGAAACACTTTTATACATTTATTTATTCCGTTTTTGAAATGTAGCATAACACTAGATTTTGCTACTTTATTACTAGAAAGCTATTTACTGGCTGCGAATGGTTGGAATTTGTAGCGAATTACCTGTGTGTGTGTGTGTGTGTGTGTGTGTGTGTGTGTGTGTGTGTGTGTGTGTAATATTTGTGCTGCGTGCTGATTTGATTCAATGTGGCCTTGATCCAAAATGAATTTAAACCGCTTCCACGTGAACAGCGGACAAACCGAATTTTTAATTGACGCCAGAAATCTTACGGACGAGTTTGCGCATAAGAAACATCCTTTCAGAGTTTTAATATTTAAAGAAGGAAGATCATTCATTTCTTTCTTTTTTGAACATTTCCTTTCAGGTTAAAACCTGGTTCCAAAATCGACGTGCGAAGTGGCGAAGACTAAAACAGGTGAGCAGCGGTGACTGATGTCGCCCTACCTTCCTTTCACTCCTCACTAAAATACACTCGTACCGTCTCCTAATCCACGGGGTTCGCTTTCACCAGGAGAATCCTAAGAGGGAGGTGGAGGATAACAGTTCCAGAGGTAAGAAAGGAGATGAGATGATAGAGGCTGCCGGAATCCAGAACCAGGAGCAGAGGCAGCCAGGCTCGGCCCCCGAGTTGGCGCAAGCGGGACACTGTGTGTCCCGACAGCAGGCCCACACAGAGCTGGACTCTGACGTGTCAGACGACACAGACCAAGAACTGGACATAGAGGACGACGAGGACTTCACACTAAACCCCCAGTTCTGAAACACAGGCTCCATAAAGATCTGCCTCAGACACTGAAGCTCTCATGCGTCGCTGTAACTCCTTCCTCCTCCTCCTCCTCCTCCTCCTCCAGCCTGGTGACTTGCAGATTGATAGACTGGTTCCGGATGTAATACTAAGACAAGTCAGCCCCTCAAACCCGAGTGCCTTTCATCAGAACTGTCTTCTTTGTTGAACCTGTGTACATATGCGTAATGTTCTGTGTGTGTGTGTGTGTGTGTGTGTGTGTGTGTGTGTGTGTGTGTGTGTGTGTGTGTG